TAAGTGAAGTTGCTGAGAACATTACAAAAACTAAGTATGTGGTGGATCTCGTCAAAATAAACAACTTTTTCCTATGAAATGTTTAACGAAGAATGATTCGTTTTCGAAATACAGATTGTTGAAATTTTTCAAAATATGGTAGGTTTTTGTCATAAGTTTTTTTCAATTTTAGTTATTTTCATCAAACTAACAAATACGCAGTATATACCCGTACAGACTCCTTCTAAACTGAGCATTATCAAACTGCTCATTCAATCCAAACTGAAAAAATTTGTCAGGTTTAATTATTCATTTCAGCATTCGTAAAGTCGGGCATGGTATATACTAAAAAATCACTTTATAAACTCCGATCTGTGAATTTGTCAGTTGATAGTTAAAAATGTGACAGCGAACTTCTATTTTTATAAACAAACTTTCATAGCCTACTCGATTTAATTAACTTAATTTGCAAGCGGAAAGTGACAAAAATTATTGAAATCAAATTTGGCTATAAAGTAATATGCATCGATATAGAAAATTGTAAATATCTCGAAAACGATCACCTCCAGCGTTGTTGAGGAGATGTACCTTTTTGTTTGGAAAAGGTGTGGGAATTAGGTTTTTTCATGAAAAGTACCAAAAGTTTACTGTCGAAAAAATTAGGGCAATCATGATGAACTCTTCTATTTTCCATATTCAACCATCCAATCTCAATTAATTTATGTGATATTCTCTGATTTTTCCTCACGCCGTATATTAGCCTCTTATACTTGCCTCTGGATGTTCACTAATTTCTTCGAGAACCGTCTCCTCCAATTCTACAGTTCTTGTAGTTCGTGGCCGTCTTACTGCAGAATTTGTTTCAAAGCTTCCAGATTTGGAAAGTCGCCGGAAGAGATTCGCAAATGTTGCTGCACAAGGAGTCACGCATTGGGGATACTTTTTCTGAGAGATGCGTCTGGCCTCGCTTGAATTTGCAAGCGGAAAGTGACAAAAATTATTGGAATCAAATTTGGCTATAAAGTAATATGCATCGATATAGAAAATTGCAAATATTTTGAAAATGATCACCTTCAGCGTTGTTGAGGAGATGTACCTTTTTTGTTTGGAAAAGGTGTGGGAATTAGGCATTTTCATGAAAAGTACCAAAAGTTTACTGTCGAAAAAATTAGGGCAATTTGAAATAAATAATGACAGCGTGCGCAGTGCCCTCTAGAGGTTACATGAAAATTAATACAAAATTATGATTTCTCACATCAAAAAAACCCCGGGTATCGAATTTCGTGCAGATAACTTATTTTTTGTAAGTATCATTTTCAAAAAGCGAACAAAAAAATCCAATTTCCGAAACGAAGCATATAGACTTTTTTTCCAAAAATTGTTTCAGGAATACGTCACTTGAATATTACAACGTACTTATGTTACACCCTGTATATACTTTCACGGAAACATCACGTGCAACCTTGATAGCCTAGAACATCGAAAAAGGTTAGAGATTCGCACCTCTTTTATAGATACTTTCACGGTAAGTGTTCAAGTGACTTGTCACATTTGATTCCACCAAGAGCGGTGGTCAAATTTTACTGGACCAGAACCTGTAAATCTAGCCCTTGCAATTGGTAAGGTTTTCCTGTTATGGAATTTTGGCAGTTGATCACCAACTTTAGTGTTTCTATAGTATTCTAAAACATTTACATCGGTTCAAATTTGAGGTTGGTTTTGACTAATATCCCCTTATATGAATCAGATCGCAAAGATAGCTTCATAATTATGTATGACACTGAAAGCATTTGCACTGCCTGCCTACCTGCTCCAAGTATTTTGTTCTCCCTGAAGATCCAGTCCTCTCTACTCTGGATTAGAAGTATATGAAACAAGTCGTCGTTTACTGCTAGAGGCATTAAGATGGAGGCCATTACTATAATTCTGTGAGTTTCAGTGACTACTATTGTCTGCTATGTTCCATAGTTACCTATCTAACCTCTATCTTTCTCTCCAGAAACATCTGAAGGTGGTACTGATGGCACTAGAGATAGCCATGCCAACTTGTCTCTGGACACGACAGGTTTTTGTCTATCTTAGCGACTGGAGAAATGTTGCACAGTAACATGGATTAACGGGATTTCAGTCAAAAAATCAAAAATAAAACTCTGCTTTATTTTGCCAAGCTTTCGCTTCTAATGGGAAGCTTCTTGAGGTCCTATAATTTATTGAGTAGTGACTTTTTTTGTCAATGAATAACATTACAAATCATACTCACAGTAAAAATGAGGGAAAGACAATGAATTGAACATATAAACTGACCAAAGAAAATTTAACATGTATGGATTTTTCTGAATTTGACAAATGTCATACCTTCACATAAATATCATTTTTCAATGGGCATGATGATTTGATAATCTTTGACTTTGAAGAGAGAGTTGATTGATACAATTTTCATTATTATCATTATGATTTTTGGTGTAGTTCCAGTAAGTTACAATATATAGTGCTGAGATTATCAATGTCACTTTTCTTATTCATAAAATCAGAAGACTTATTAATTTCAACCATTCCAAGAGAAAGGCGTTTGGTAATATTTTTTTCTGTATGTAAAACTTTGATATTAGAATAATTTGGTTTATGTCCTGTGTCTATAGAATGTTGCTCTAATGCACATGATTTAATATTAAGCTTTATATCATTTTTATGTGAAGTTATTCTATATTTAAGAATTCTAGATGTTGTTCCAATATAATTCAAATTACAATTGTTACAAAGAATGTTATAAATCACATTCGACTTTTTGGTAGTATCCGTTTTATCTTTTGATTTGGTATTCAAATTCTTCATAGTTTTAATATTTTTTTGGCATATTTTGATATTTTGTTCATTATGGAAAAGTTTTATGATACTTGAAGATGAATTTCCAAGATTAGGTATAGATTTATAAGAAAAATTGATAGGTGAATTATTATTATTACATAAATTTCTATTGAATACATCGGAATTTGTATTACGGACTGAATTAAAAATTATTTTATTGAGAAGTTTTCCGGGATAGGAAATTTCGATCAATATGTCTCTGAGAAGTTTGAGATTTTCTTGCTTGAGGGAAGGGTGTACTAATTTTTCGATTCTTTTTTTCAAACAGAGTATCATCTTGATTTCTTCGGTCCGACAACATCCTTTATCACCCATAAGGCATCATCTAAAAAATTGTTTATGAAATCAAACTGTCAAAATAATTCTCCAATGGTAATGAGCCAATGATAATTCATTTCTTGAAACTATTTTTTGCTCAATATAGCGTCAAAAAGCAAATGAAGATCGCGACAATGAAGAAAAAAACAACTTATTCGAATTTGAAATGTTGATAGTGATCAGGGATGCTAATTATGACGTGCACCCCAAAAACGTAAAATGATGATATTTATCACCACAACTGTAATTATTAATAATAATAATATTAAAAATGGCATGGAAAGTAAAATAAAATGTAGAGGTGATGTGATGAATGAACATATGTGTTCTATTGTTTATATTGTGCAAAAAAAGGCTGAAAAATTGTACTTTTCAGAACTTTGAAGACTGTATCTCTAGAAATACTAAAGAACACTAATTTTTTGATTCGTAATCTACACGCCGATTATACTACACGCCGGAAAGTACATTATTTTCCTTCGAATAAGAGGGTGCAGCTTATCCAAAATTTCACCCAAATTTGTAATACTTCAAGTATGTAAGTATGTTATTTTCGTAGGGATGGATATCTAGTTTTTGATGAAATACGGTCCGTGTTATTTGTTGATATGTAGCTCACTATGTATATCATCCAGATAGAAACTGGAAAAAATCGATACAAATACCCTCTATTATGAACGTTAAACTGATTGAAATATCAACAGACTGACCCATTACTTATGATAATTAATAATACGATAATAACGATGATTCCATCTCTTCATATCTGTATTTAAAGAAATCGAGATTTCCTCACAAATACTGTTTCCTTGTCAAAATACTTCAATTTTATTTTTTTTTCTCTCAGAATTTCAGAAATTCTTTATTCTACTTTCTATTCTAAATTCTATGATGAAATTTTCCATAGTTTCTCAATAATCATGATATTTTTCGATTTCTGTCCTCTTAATAAATTCACAGTGAGCTAATTAGATATTCTGAATTGATCAATTATCAAATATTAGGTTGTAATTGATAGTTTTTTGTGGAATTCAAAACTCAGTACTACGAATGGAAACTAAAAGTTTATAGTTCTGTGAAGCGATGAGACTTCCGTAATTCACCTGAAATCGTGATTTCTTTCAATTTCAAATGTCGTTTATAGCATCATTCATTAGAAAATAACAAATTTTAATGAGCGACAAAACGAGTCCTTTGCCAATTTAAATTTTTTTGTTGCCTTACTGATTCTTGTGTCTTTCAGTAAATATTAATAACTGTCTATCAGAAATGAGTTCATCATCAATCAGAAAGAGAAATTGAAATACGACAGCAGTTGATTTAGTTTTGATCCGCCATATTCATCATCACGATAAAAAAATCGTTTCAAATTCTCAAGTGACCCCAAATTCACACTATAAATAGTATCAGAGACATTCAGTGTATCCTTGACCACACCATATAAAAAACATTCATGAGTTTGTTGTGACTTCATAAAATTCCTTTAGTACTCCCATAAAAACTAATTCAGTGAATTCATTCAAACCTTATTCGATTGTTTTAAAAGCACCCACCTCATTCGTAATTACAGTATAGTTAGAAAGTCAAGCAGTGATACAATAATAAAGCCATCCTTGATCTTGCGGGTAACGTGCTTAGTACCACCTACATCTAAGCAAGTATGGTATCAAGTGAAAGTGCGTGTACCTCCAGTTGCCGTATAATCACTCTTGACAAGCACTTACCCGCATTATGATGGTAGCCGCATCTTCATTCTTACATAATGCAAGTGAAAGCAAAATCGGCTTTACCTAGTTTTGTAATAACTCTGAAAACCAACTGAAAATACTCTTCAATTATATTAGAATTAATTTTATTCGCTTTACAACTAAAACAAATATAACAAACAATAATTACAAATCCTTAACCTAACGAGATAACACACTGGCGAACCTGTCATATATACAGAGTTTGTACTGTAGAGAATAGAGAGAGGCTATTTACAGAAACATATTTTTCCACAGTTCAGTCCCAACCGTGGTGATGGTGGACCTTCACCCACACTTTCTCCCAAACGGGTTTGGAAATCTTCTTCCACGCTGGCACTTCTCTGGTTTTCCACACGGGCACCCAGATTTGTTTCCATTCATCTTTCCAAATTTGCTTTTTCTCTGTCACCCACTTCTGTACCTTCTCTGTTCTCCATATTTGCACTTTTTCTTGCTTCCAGATCAGTTCTTTCTTGGGAATCCAGATTTCTTTCTTCTCCGTTCTCCAGATCTGTTCCTTTTTCGGGATCCAAATTTGTTTCTTTTCAGTCCTCCAGATTTGCTTCTTTTCGGTCCTCCAGATTTGCTTCTTCTCGGTCTTCCAGATCTGTTTCCATTCAGACTTCCACTCCATCTTTTTCTGCGGCACCCAAATCTGTTTCTTCTCGGTTCGCCAGATTTTCTTCCATACGGGTTTCCATATCAGTTTCTTCTTCCAAAGATCGTGTGCTGTGTATTCGTTGCCGTGGTGATCTTTGCCCAAATAGTGTTCTCCATGAATTCCTTCCTTGACCCATTCAGGTACGTGTTGCAGCTTCCACTCAGGTATTTGGATTTCTTTCCAGGCTGGTACTTTCACTTCCACCCATACTGGCTTCCAAATCTGCTTCCATGCTGGAACCTGGATCTCCTTCCAATCTGGGACTTGGATCTCCTTCCAGTCTGGAACTTGTATCTCCTTCCAAGCTGGAACTTGGACTTCCTTCCAGTCTGGAACTTGGATTTCTTTCCATGCTGGCACTTTGGTCTCCTTCCAGATTGGTTTCGAGATAACTTTCCAGTCAGGAACTTGAATTTCCTTCCAGATGGGTACTTGGATTTCCTTCCAGATAGGAACTTGAATTTTTTTCCAGTCAGGTTTCCAAATCAGCTTTTTTTCATGTTTCCACACTTTGACCCATTCTGTTTTCCAAGTGAGCTTCTTACTCCAGTAACCTTCGGGTTCATGGTAGGACCTCTTCGTACGTGAGAGACTAACAGGACCACTTTCAGATGGTACGGCAAAAAAGCACCCTACAACGATCTGGAAAGAGAATTGTTGTCAGTGACATGATTGGTATATGAGAGAATTGAATACATCATGATAAAGTTGTTGAACATTTTGTGCAGATATTAATTTACACTTTAAATGATTTTGAATCTCAACAGATATTCTGCAATTAGGTTACAAAAAAAAATTGAGATGATTTTGACAGATAGTTTCACTACACTATACTACAGTTTTTAGAAAGATATTTTTTGCCAATATGTAGACAGGGTGATTCTGCAAAATCTCCGTTGAAAATATTACGAAAGAGAAATTACCACAATTTGGCGTATGTCAATTATGTCAGGAGCATTTCAGCAAAAATAGCCTGGAGCACTGTCTTACAGCTAAAATAGAGTTTGAAAGATATATGAAAAATGTATGACTGAAATATATGATTGAAAAAAACATTTGTGATGCACTGTTTGGAAACTTTAGTGTAGTAATGAATATTACTGGAGTTTTTTCCCAAAACCCAACATCTCGACACGTGTTTTGATCACCAAGTGGTAGAGAACACTGACTGAGATCAAGAGGAAGATTTGACTGTTTATTCTTCCTCTTGAAGATTATCACTTGGTGATCTGAACACGTGTCGAGGTGTTATAATAACCGTTTGCTGTTGGGAAAAAAACTCCAGTAATATTAAAAAAACATTAACCGAAAAAGGTCTGAGTTGAAGGAGTGATAGTCTGAATTCATAAATTTTTCATGTAAGATGATATCCACGAAAGTTTTTGAAAATGTATATTAAAAAAACTACAAACTCTATTTCATTCATATTATTTATACCTGAATCGCATAGTTTTCCTTCAAATGATTTTTTTATTTTGCCTTCAATTCCGCAGGAAAAGTATAAGTATGTGTATTGAACATGGCTGTGTAAAAATCTTGTTATTCATTCAGTACCAATTGATGTTGTAGTGTTTTGTTTTAGTACCAATGTTGCACAGCCAACTTTCAATCAGATTGGCGTACTGCTGTGCATTGTGGAATACAAAATAAATGAAAAATAAGCAGCATAAAAAATGTGAATGAAAGTCAACATTATTTTTAATGATATTCACGATGAAGTAATGAAAAGATGAAAACGAAAAATGGGCAAGTGGTTTTGTTATTTCGAAATAGCATAGAAACATTTCAAGGTACTGAAATTAAATGTAATTTTGAATCACAAATCATAGGAAGTATGAGAAATGAGATCATTATTTGAAATGAATCTAGAAATTGATTCACAGTATAAAACAGTGAAATTCAGAGAGTGTTCCTTTTGCAATAAGAAATTGAAACATACTTTCGGTTTAGCTGAAAGTATGAAATTTTCGTATTTTTCTGCTTTTACTATTATTTTGCACATTCAACTGACAATACTTCTGTGATTTGTTTTTGTTTATTTGTTCTCTTGTATGTGTTATATTGTTTGTAATATTTATTTACTTATACATATGAACATTTTTATTGTTATATAATATTATTATTATTATCATTTCTGAAATCTGAAGAGCACAACATAATGAAACGAGAACTACTTTTTTCAACGATTTTTTTCCACATTTTTTTTCGAATGGTTTCATTTTTTGAGTAGTCAATGTTATTTTGGTTTCATTTATTGAGTATTTCAAACTCTGGGTATTTTCTTTGTTATACTGAAAAAATCCAAGAGTAGTTTTATTGTGTCTATTTTGAACATAAATGAAAATTATTTTTTATGAATTGTTTCTACCGTTGCAATCTATTTATTAATAAAAATTGAGGCCTATGGAATCGAATGAAAAGACTAATAACTCCGCAGACACAACAGATCAGAAGACATTAAAATAGTATTATCAAGGAGAAGAGATTTCCAACTAACCCGGAATGAATTGAGAAGAAGAAATTTTCTGGACAGAATCGTTATTGGAGAAAAATGTTGTTGTGTTAAACTTTCAAAAAAAGATGAACAAAATCAACTGAAAAATAATTTTTTTTGCAAAAAAATGAGTGGGTCTCAGATGAAAACAAGAAAAAAACCCTTTCGAAACAACTACTTCCACATGAACATTGAATTGCACCAGAATTGCTTTCTTCCCAATCAGTTTGTAATCTGAACATTTGTAATGGAACTGAAATAATTTTTATGTAACACTATCATTCTAAATGAACAATTGAAAAAAGTGCTAATGAGGAGTTGAACATATGTATTGTCAACCCAAAACTTCGATAAAAACAGAAGTAAACTTTTACATTGAATTTGTTCCATATATCACGTTGTGTGGCGTTCCTATATATTATATTCGTTCAATTTCCTCGACGAATGTTCGGAGAAATGAAGAGGCAAAAGTGAGATTTGTGTAACTCAATGTTCATCTGGAAGTAGTTGTTTCAGAAAGGCATAATAAACATAAACACATTCGATAGTTTCATTTCTTCCATTTTCCTGGAAGTTTTTCATGTTTTCCGTTTGGAAATGGAGAAGTTCCTAGTCAAAACAGTTTCTTTTCAGACAATATTTGATAATATTGCCATATTCTTTCAGTTTAACTGGATTCAATGAATAGGTGGACGTGAAAATATCTCTTTCCGAAGACGGCAATCCCGTGAAATCGAAACTTTGCTTGAACAAGATGAACGCAGAGTTCTGGATAAACAAGGTTTCAATTCATTGCTGATCCTATATGACGTTTGACTTCAATAAGGCACTCTTGGTTCAGCCTCTACCGATGAGAACTGTGACAGGTCATCTCAGTGCTGTGTTTTTGGGATCTGGCTTCAACTGGTGACTGAATATGACAATATCAAAAATGTCATTATTTCACAATTTCAAACGAAAAGCGTGACTGAATACTTGTTACTTATATGATGAAGATTGGTAATGGAGAAGAGGAAGAGATCATCAACAAATTATTTTTTCAGAAGAGGAGGATGTGCATATGGAATTCCCAAACGTGATATCTATGATTGCTAGCCAAAGTTTCACGTCAATTGGAGAAATATTAAGAACTCCTGCAAAATACCACCATGATTCAAATCCACAAATGTTTTGAGAAGAATAAAAAATCAGAACAATCAGTTATGTGAAATAATGGATACACTTTTCCGATAGTGTGATAAAGCTAGTTTTGTGAAAGATATGTTATGAAAGAATATACAAATATACTTCAACTAGTCTGTGGCATTTTTCTCGATTTCCAAATGAGTATTTGAAATCTTTATATTCACTTATGGACGGAGCATGTGTAAATTGAATATCAATATCCTTCTTCATTGAAAGAGATTATGACAGCCAAGCTCCTACTGTCTCCATGGACTTGGGCTCCCCAAATCTTGATTACTGTTCAAAAACCATATGAAGGAAGGATTTCGACAACAGAAAACTAAATCAGCTAAGACATCACTAGAGAACAGAGGTGGTAGAAAATTTCAATTAGCGACTCACAACCAGAATATCCCAAAGAGTCAGTACTTTTGGAGGGTCTCGTATAAAGAAAGTATGAGGCCAACTGCTCGAGTGAAAATTATGAATTTGGATATGGGAAACGTAAAATAGCTTCAGTAACAATTGTCACTCATTCGATGTAACCGGTCCATATGATGGCCTCTTCGCTCTCCTGATGGATACACTACAAATATTTTTCCATAGCCATTTATCTAAACTCAGATGAACAAAATTTCTGAGTTGAGAAAGATATCGAGACTAAACGAACAGAAAAAGTACCTAAAACTTTTTTTCAACCGAATGTTTTTTTTGTTTCAACATACTCATCAATTCGTTGTATTTATTCAAAAGCTGAAAATTCCAATTCAATTTTGTGAGTATTGATGATATTTTTTCATATTCTCCCAGAGTTAGTCAATTATCAGGTAATTATGGAATTATCAAAAACATTGCGGTTATTTCTCAGTCGCATATTATGAAAATTATTTCTAAATCATTCTCAATCGGTACGATGGGATAGGTGAAATAATATGTAAATATAATTGTTCAGAAACAAGTATTGATTGATTTAGTCATTTCCTTAAAAATTCTAAACGTTGTATGTCCAACAAAATGAGTATTAGATATTCAACCTATGGTTCTTCATACGTTTAATCAAGAATGACATTGATGTTGTTAATGAATATTCCTGATCGAATATTATTCAAAACTTATTGATGATGAAAGTTTCTGAAACTTCTTTTCTTTTAAAATCATTGTTTGAGTAGTTTTTGTTTTGAACATTTGTTGTGAGATAAAATTTCAGTGAATAACCACACATGAATCACAGTTGAAATTTTCCAAAATTCAGTTCGATTACGGAAACTAATTTCTTTTTTCATGGAAAATAAATGGTTTTTGTTGAAAAACACATACGTCAAAAAGATCATGCAGTAAAATTTAAAAAATCACGTTAATTGATGACTTGCAACCTATGAATTAGAGTTTCAACGTTTCGTCACAACAACAAAGAAATATTCAAAAACAAATGGCAAGTCAATATCAGCACCAATTTCAGGTTTTTCCTCTGATTAAAAATCTCTCAGGAAGAGATTAAATGAAAAAATAATGCCTATTTTTATTCAGATTAGTGGTTTCAAAACTGGTTACGAAAATAATTTTGGCTGTACCACTTTTCATCATTCAAATTATCAAAACAATGTATTTTTTAAACAACAAACGGCCAAAACAACAACCAAAACTAGACGAAGAATTGGTCCCCGCAAATGAAAACGAAGCACCACGTAAACACTACACACTGTAAATCCAAATGAAAAAAACACTAACCAGGAGCGAGTAACACCTCATCGTGAATTTCTGAGCCCCACTGTGAGGGGTTAAGGCTGTTAATTTACTAAACTCCCTATCAGAGGAGTCTGGTTTTATACCGGGCGATATTTCATATCCACATTGATTTCCCCCCGAATCGTTATTGGAGAACGTGTGACGGTGAGATGTACCATGGAGGGTTCTTGAAAATTTCGCTTTCTTCGCGCGTCCGCGGCTCATGCTAAAGTGGGATCGTCGGTTATGGCGGTGAATGCTTCCTGATAGCTTTTTTACCGCTGCGGCGTCTTTATTTCAAACATCGTTTCTTCCGTTTTCGTCTTAAATACCGCAAAACAACATGCCATAAAAATCATTTCTTCCTTCCGGACGATAACTATTTCTTATTATTTTTCGTGAGGTGAAAATTCACTTTAGCCCCTACGACCAATATAAAATTATTTGTATCTACCACAACTACCGATAACGAAAGATAAAAAATTACCCACAAGAAAGTCTCAATGTTGGGTATCAAATCAAATCACTTTATTAATCCTGTAGAACTTACAAAGTTATAGGATAGGTTAAATAACATTTTGTACACACATAAAATTATACCAAACACAAAATATGGAAGATTGTCATAGATATACAATGATGGACAAAACATATTAAAATAATGTGATAGAGAAATAAAATTACAGAAGATTGATAAATTCATCTATGGTATGCAAATTATTATCTAATGAAAACCTTTTAGGGGTGGTTTTGAATACCTGAATTCTATTAGTAGTTTTCAATGATTCGGGCAGTTTGTTATAAAGTTTTAGCCCCAAGTTAGAAGGTGAGTTAGCGGTTATATTATATTTTACGGAATTTATGTGAAAATCATTGCACTGTTTTGTATTTATATTATGGTGAGATGAAATCTGTCTGTTCAAAACAAATATGTCTTTTCGTTAATCAGCTGTCGTCCCCATACGAACGACAATTCCCAGAAGTTGAGAAACATGTGCGTGCTAACGAGGTGTTACCTTTCAACGTGTGATTCCTAACACGGTTGCAGAATCATCCCAGCTCCAACCAGATAAATTCTCTCTAGAAAAATATCTAGTCAAGGCGAGAATCGAACCCACGACCTTCCGATCGTGAGTCGGGCGCACTACCACCGCGGCTAATGCGATCATATTTCGACCTATTGGTATGTATGAATACACACATTTCAAAAATGAAAATATCTGGGAAAGTTGGAATTTTGAAATGCAGAAGGTTCTCTGATTAACGCCTGCTAGAATTCGTATGCTCTTTTTTGAACATAAATACATTAGGAGCCAAGGAAGAGCTTCCCCAAAGGCAAATGCCATATCTGATTCCAGATTCTATATGTGCATAATAATAATTCATTGACTGTTCAGTGAATAATATCGACTAGATTTCGTATCAGATATGAAACATAACTTAGTTTCAATATCAGTATATTACAATGACTCTTCCAGTTCAGACAATTACCTAGCGTGAAAATTTACATTCATCGGATAAAGAAAGTGTGTTTTCATTCTCATTGATTTTGATTTCAAGATTTGAACAGATTTTTTGCCTGTGATGAAACCGTACTAATAAAGTTTTTCGGGAGTTGAAATGGGAACGTGAGAAGGAAAACCGCCCAAGAAACAAAACCTAACTGATCCCTAATCACCCTTAAAACAAATGCTTGAAATCGGTCACTGATATGAATGCATTTTTAGGCTGACTTAGCCTTATTTAATCTCAGCCAAAATCATCCATCTCCCCATCATAGTTGGGATTTTTTTCTAGAGACTCAACACGTAATTAATGATGAATTTGAAAATATAAATATGTGAGCTAAGTACAGTCGATTAACGATTTTTTCAATGTTTAATATGAATACATTTTTATAAAAATTAAAATTCACTTAATTTTTTTTTGAACAGAATTGGCAGTGTTGAACATTTTCTTCAAACTAGCCGCAACCATAATCACCCATCTCAATTCCACAGTTATATTTTACATTGACTCAACATGTAACATTGAAACCAGTAAGATTTTTCCAACATTCGTCTTTTGGGACATTTTCTTCGTTCAAATTGAATCGCGAGTTTGAACAACACTCAATCATCCCCATAGCAATTGTTCAAAATCGGTCGTTGACCTAAATCCAATCTTACCTCAATCCTTTGATTCATCTCATTTTCACAGTTACTTTTTTTATAGACTCAACATTTAACTTTCATTTTTCAATGTTTGTCCAAATCAAATTTGAACTTAACTTCATCTAACCTATCTCTATTGTTATTTTCCTCTAGTATAAACATTGATTGTTCTTATTATTATTGTCATAGCGGATAGTTTTTACCTGTTTGGGTTTTGAAAATTGAGAGAAACAAATAGAAAGTGCGTGGAATATTTATATGGGGCAATAAATGAATGCCTGCCAATTATTTTTTTATGCATTTATTCCACGTGAATCTGCGGCTACGACGTAGGTGGTCCATCCGTGAGCTACACTTTTGATAGACTTAGTTTATCCAGCAATGGCAGCTGTAATGATATTCTCCAGGGTTGGAGTTACGGCTCTCCCTCTACACGAGATACTTTACGTATCCCCACAAAAATTAGTCTAGCGGGGTCAAATTGCATGATTTTGGTGGCCGATGAGCTGCTCCTAACGTGAGATTTATTGACCACCAAACTCACATCTCAATAGGTTCATGGTATCGCGTGTCGTGTGGCATGTGGCAGCGTCTTGTTGAATCGACATATTAACCAAGTCCAATTTTTCTATTTTCGGAAAAAGTCAGTACCTTGCTTCATTCACTGTACCTACCATTGTTCCATCATTTTTGAAGATATACGGCCCAATAATGCCGCCGGCCCAATAATGCCGCCGGCCCAATAATGCCGCCGGCCCACAAACCGCACCGAACAGTACATCTTTCAGAGTGCATTTGCAGCTTTTGAATTGCCTCTGGCTGCACTTTACACTAAATTCGTTATTTCTGTTTGTTGATGCACACATCGGACCAAAAATGAGCTTCGTCACTGAAGAGAATATTTCGATAGAAAAATTAATCTTCATCTTAAGACCTACTCACCAAATGAACGACGTTGTGGTACGTCATCTGGCTTCAGTTCTTGCAGCAGCTCTATGGTTCCATACCACAAGGTCTTTACGTTGAATCTCCCAGGTGGTCAAATAACACAAGCCCATTAGTTGACAACGGCGGTGAATTAATGTCCAATGGAGTGAAATAGGAGCGAATTTTGGTTGGAACAGTCATTAGCCTTTTTAGTGTGTCAATTATGACGACCACACAGCACAAATTTTGATGATGAAAGTCAACGATTTGCAAGCGTTGTTCGTTTGTAAATGAGATGGCAACCTCTACTGAGAATTTTTGGCTTTGGCACATGTCACAAATTTTTTTTATCACTGTAAAAAAACTCACTAAAGAACCAAATAGCAAAAAAATTCACCCGTGTAATGCATTTCCATTTTTCATCCTGTATTTCGATCTTTTTTTTTGTTGCTGCATGTGGCATTTCATGTAAGCATTCATTTCCTTTACGACAAAATGAATTGTATTATTGTATTGTATAAATTGATTAGTCAATGTCCTAAAAGTGAAAATAATACCTAGCCTAAGTTTAAATCTACAACATTCATATCAGAAAAGAGGAACATATACAGGGCTACTCAAATTCGTATCTGTACATGGGGATCTTGTAAACGACAAGAGATAGAGTGTCGGTTAAATCATGGCGAAGTTGCGTATTTTAGAGACCTGTTCAATGATGTGAAGAAATCGAATATAGCTCTTTTGATTCTGGAGATATACAGGAAAAACCAAAAAATCCCAAATTATTTTTTTGCCTATATCTTCTTTATTCGCAGACATATTGAAAATCTGTCCACATTTTGCTATCGGCACTTGATGTGGGCTCTCAGAATATATCCATAAATGTTTTTTTTTCCTGTATATCTCCAGAACCAAAAGAGCTATTTTCGATTTTTTCACATCATTGAATAGGTCTCTAAAATACGCAACATTGCCACAATTCAACCGACACTCTATCTCTTATCGTTTCCGAGATCCCCATGTACAGAAACGATTTTGAATAGCCCTGTATATGTTTGTGAATTCTAAAATCAGCGCAAAAAATATTCATCCACAGAATTATAAACTTGATTCAATACAAATTCTTCTATTGCTGATTTGAATAATTTCAGTTCAGGAATAGATTTCATAGTCAACAGTAATTTATTGAAAATTCTTTGGCCAAATAGGTATAGATGAAGAATTGAAAACCACTTTTTTTTAAAAAAAAGGTACATGGAGATCAGGTTGTCTTGTATTGACTGAATGCACCTGAGTGTTAGTTTAACGATGAACAAGAACGAGAATGTTTCCTACTTATTCGGCAAACTCAAACAATTGTTCATACAGTTGTAGTTTCATAAGAATGTATCGTCTTTCCCACCAACCGATTTTTTGGAGTCTTTGAAGTCCACTGGATACTAGTTGGGACAACAAGAGGATTGCTTCAAATTCTTGGGGTTTTCGTTGAATACTCTTCGTGAGCAGCAAAATAGCAGAATCAATACTCCGGACCGCTCTGGATTGAATGCTACCGCATAGTCTATCTCGTCTTGTGTTTGTAGATCTTTTGCTGAAAAAGCCTCAATTGTTTACTTTGTAGTAAATGTTCAAGAGGTAGCAAAAACGTATGTGATTTCCTGGAACTTAACTAGCGTTTCCTAATATAACTGATAACCAATCCGTGCAAAGCCTATTATCAAATCATCTGAAAATGGAACTTTTAACGGGTGATGATCAACTGCATTGCCAAACTGGCGCTAAACTAACAAATTATTATAAGAAGAAGTATAACTGCGGCACCAGTCAATCTAATAATGACACTGATGATCTTCAAACATGACTCAACCTCTGACGGATGCACCAAACTCTTACGAAAGTTCGAAATAGATGAACACTTCAATCTAGCAGACCACTATTATAATCTACATGCAGTCATGGTTCAGTGTGGTTCTGGCGTTGAATCTGATCATTATTACGCATTGGTCAAAGACGAAACGGCCTGG